TTTATACAAGGGAATAGAAAATTAAAGCTATATTTTGGGAAGTACACTAAGTGTTTTGGTGGAAATAAACTGAAAAGAAACCAGTTAAATGTCTCAGTAACTTTGTCCAAAGCTAAGGGGCTTTATGAGAAGACGCAGCAATAGGATAGAGAGTAGCGAGTCCAAATATGTACAGTAAATCCTCATTATTCACAGATACCAAATTTGCTAATTCACCTATCCGCTAAAACTTATTTGTAACCCTAAGGTCACCTGCGGCACTTTCACAGCTACTCAGAGAAACAAGTGCAAAGGAACACAATATTTGACCATCTCAGCTGAGGTCGCACAAGGTAACACTGCCTTGTTTCAGTTCTCATACTGTATACAAGTGTCCTTTTCATGACTTGATTGTGCCACATTTTTTCACACTGTGATTTTAGCTTATAATTTTGCTGTTTAAAATGGCCTCCAACAATAGTGCTAAAGCACTATTTAGTGTTCCCAAGAACAAGGCAGCTATGATGGGCCTGATGAGTACAAGATGTATTAAGATAATCTTCAGGCAAGAGTTATAGTGCTATTGCCTATGAGTTCAAAGTTAATGAACCAATAATATATAAACAATATATATTAAAGTATCTTTAAACAGATAGATAAAATAAGGTTATATATTAAATTGTTTGACAAAAATGTTGTGACCAATCACAGGAACCTAACCCTGTAGGAGCAATTGTTCAGTATTCATACATTTCATTCAGTGTTCATTAATTTATGCTTTACAAAATATAACTACACAAATGACAATCAACTGTATATGTACATACATATACTTGCTTATTTGTAAAGCAGAAAGAATAGGATTGGTAATCAGTTATAAGAAGTAAATGAAGGAGAAAAATCAAGGATTATTTTAGCTAGATTTCTGGCCTAAACAACTAGAAGATGGTAATCTTATATAATAAAGGCCTAATATGCTAAGTGTCCAGTCATCTGGTCAGCCATTCAACCAATCAAAACATAATATGCTAATGATATCCTAAGGCAGCTCAACTGCTCCCTATGACATGCACTGACCACCAGGGGGTGGGCAGTCCAACCGATAGGTTAGCCTACTGCTGGGGTGATGAGATGAGCTGGATACACCCTGGAGCACTCCGTAGTCCTCTCTGGCTGGCTAACCTCTCACATTTCTCCCTGGCCCTGATCATGCACCATTGGGGTTCCTCAGACTAGCCTGTGCCCTCTCAAAGTCCAGGCTGAGGAATACGCCCTGCCCCTCCCGCTCCCAAGTGCACAAATTTCGTGCACTGGGCCTCTGGTACTACTAATAAAGATAGGAAACAGGAGGTGGTGGCAGCTTGGACCAGGAAGGCAAAGATGTCAGCTTTGAACAGTGTAATGTATGTCATGCCACAGTATAATAAATATAATTGTGTGTTTAGGACTCAAATCCCCCACCTTTTGAGAGTTCAGAATCATCTTTGTTCACATCTCCTACAACTAAATGCTTTCCTTTAGTCATATAAACTAGGCATGTCAACATCAGAAATGTATACTATGTCAATTCTTTTACTTTCTACTGTCATCTTTGTCAAGTACATTACTCATATTCACCATAACCTATAACAGTGTTTCTATGTGAGTCCTAAAAAGTAAAAATGTATATAATTTTATCTTTATGAAAGCAAGAAGTCTAAATAACGAATATCTTACAATCAGGCTGTTTGTTTCCTAAAATGTTTACAGATACATAAATTATTAATATACAATTCTAAAATATTAACCTTATATAAAAAATTCTAATGAATAAATTATGGCATGTTTTCATACTTGATTTAAGAAAACCTCAAATTTATCATTGTTTCTATGTAATTTTTATAAAAATGTACACATAACCTCAAAAAGTGACATCTTTTTTATTACCTAAAAACTAAAAATTATAATATACATCTATATACACTGAGCCTTACATAAATATAAGAGAAACCTAATAAAGATACTCATCTATCTCTGTCCACACAACATTACCTTTATTTATCTTTTTAAAAAATATATTTTATTGATTTTTTACAGAGAGGAAGGGAGAATTAGAGAGATAGTCAGAAACATCCATGAAAGAGAAACATCAATCAGCTGCCTCCTGCACACCCTCCACTGGGGATGTGCCCACAACCAAGGTACATGCCCTTGACCGGAATCGAACCTGGGACCTTTCAGTCCGCAGGTCGACGTTCTATCCACTGAGCCAAACCAGTTTCAGCCCTTTCTTTATCTTTGTAACAGAAGACAATTTCTAAGCTACCACAAAACTGATTTTATAACCAAATATATATTTGTATGAAACAGAAAACTGATACATAGTCCTTCCTGAATATACAATTGTGTACTTGTTTACTTTCAATTGTCCACACAGAGATTCAGGGTCAATTTAAAAGGTAAATAATCAGAATGTACTGTATTAATTTTATCTTTGGTGTGACAATTGGGTGCATGACCTCCCACTGAATACTAAAAATTAAATACTGAGAGAATAGTTATTACTACTTATATGATAAAAAAAAAAAAAAAAAAAAAAAAGTGAAGGAAAGTTCAAGAAAGAAGGGTTCTAAGCCATAGAGAGAAAAAGAGGTTAAGATGCCAGTTTAGTTAATAGGGAATAAAGAGAAAGGTAAAACAAAATAGAAAGTTCAGCAAAATGTTCTGTATGGAAATGAGACACCAGTTCTTAGCAATCAATGGTAAGAACCATAACCAAAAAAAAGCCAACCAAAGACTTTAGAATGCACTAGGACAAAACATCTACTTGACACAAAGAAATTAAGAAATTAAAAGACACAAGAAATTAAGAGTAAAATGGTCATTTTAAATGTCTTTTGTATTTTATATGATTTAGAATGTAATTATAACATTTCTATTCCTAAAGTAAAATATTAATGTACCTGATCATAATGCAAATAAAAATGATATGCACCTCAAAACTGATATTTGAACTGGAAAGTAAATCAAAAACAATTAATATACCTGAGCTACCAAGACAGTAGTCAGTACATAATATGCATTTAGTGGGAGCAATCATTATCACTAGCAGCGTCTCCATGAGCAAGCAGGCCCTTGTTTCTTTTCCAAGGGCTAGTGCCCAAGAGGGGAAGGGGCAGGGGTCTTCTTAGTTCCAACCTCTGAATCTCAAGACAATGATATTTCACTAGTCAACAGGGCAAATACATTCCATGGACACTCCTGACAGACTAGTAGTCAAGACAAGTAAAAAAAAAAAAAAAAAAAAAGCCAGGGAGACATTAAAGAACTTGAGGCCTGGTGCACAAAATTTGTGCACAGGAGAGCAGGGAGGAGGTCCCCTCAGCCCAGCTTGCACCCTCTCCAAACTAGGACCCCTCAAGGGATGTCTGACTGTCAGGTTAGGCCTGAGGACATCCCACTCACAACCCTGGATCGCTGGCTCCTACTCACTCACCCATCTGCCAACCTGGTCACCCCCAACTGTACCCCTCCTGGCCTGGCCAATCCCAACTGCCCACCTGCCAGCCTGGTTGCCCCATGCAGCCTGCTTATTCAGTCATTTGGTCATCCCTCACTAACCTCCCTGCTAGCCTGGTCATAGGCAGTCATCTTGTGAGGACATGAGGCTTAATTTGCATATTACCTCTTTATTAAATAGGATAGTTGCCTTCTCTATCACCCTGTAATATAGAATTTTCCCCCTAAAATAATCTTATAAATGGTAGTTATAATCCTAACAAGCCAACAAAGGGACATTTCGTTCACACTGCAAGATCTATGTGACTTAAAATGTATTGTATTTCCTACCTGAAAATTGGTCTGTTTAAAAGAGGGTATAACACAATTCAACTCAATATGAGTTAAATAAGTATTTGTAGATTCATGTGCAAAGTGGACCACATATGTAGCACTAACTCTATCAGGAATTATTGTCAGTTCCAAACAAACTCTTAGAACACAACTGACTTCTAAATTGGAGACTGCTTATACATAAATCCAGTTGAGAGTCATATACTAAAAGTTCAAAACTGTAAAAATTTTTGATTAAGGTCCAAGACTACAAAATCAGTAATTCAAACTTTAAAATTAATCATAAAATATGATTTATATGACCTCCTAAAAAGCATGTTGTGCACTGTGTGTGTGTGTGTGTGTGTGTGTGTGTGTGTGTGTGTATATATATATATATATATATATATATATATATATATATGTAAAAATAAAACCTTAAGATATCACAAGGAAGACAATTTTGGCTTAAGTGTTCCCACCAAAACAGTGAATATAAGTACATAGCTAAAAAGACTGGAATGTCATTCTGCAAATAAATAGAAACTAAAAATACAAAAAAAAAAATTATTAAAAGCAGCTGCCAGAGAAAAACATATTTTTCCTGATAAAAGATCAGCTACTTCACTTTCATTAAGACATAATATTTTAAATACTATTTTTTCTTCAGGAAATATTAATAATATAATACCAGCATCTTCTTAGTATAATAGTATGTAAAAGAACATAATTTCTACTCAGACATTTTCCTTGGTATTCCTGATTACCAGAAAATATGAATTATGAATTCCAGTTGGTAAGATGTTATTCTAAGCATTAGTAGTAGTTCCTTTCATTCTACTTATTTCTTTCTCTAAGGCATTAGTTCCTCAGCAGAAATAACATATCAGAATCACATAGGACTATTTTGAAAATATACATTTCCAAATGCCATGACTCAGGGAGCGGCTGATCACATCTCAAGTGAAGCCACAATGTCTGTTCTGAAAAAATTCCCCCAGTGAGATTCTGATTGCTAGGTGAAAAACTGTTTTAAGGGAAAAATTACATACTTGTACTACTGTTCAAAGAGCTCTTATTTGGTCTGGCATTGCTGAAACTTATATAGCATGCAAAGCTATCAGTAGCAAAGAGGAAAACTCCACATTTCAATACTTATAGTAAAAAAGTTAGAGATCAGATAAAACTATTCAAAGAACATACAAATATACTTAAAAATTTTCTATATATTTATTTTGAAGTATGCATTTAGGACAAATGGTCTTGAAAATATATAAAAATACTTTGTTTTAATTCAACTTCAATATTTACACAATCCCTTGAAGAATTTTTATTTTCATCAAAAAAATGTATTTCAACAACCTCCACAGTATTCTGAAAAGTCAGGAATTTAAAGATTTTTCTGATAGAAAAACTTTAGTTTCACCTCCAGAAAAAAAATGAAACTTGGAATGATACCAGTAATATTTTAAAATGTAATTCTGTCTCAGCTATGCTATACCACATATAAGAAAAATATTCATCACTAAACTATAATAATCCTAAATGGTAGCATTTTATTTAAAAACAAAGCACAAAAATATTTTATAAAAGAAAATGTCTCATTGTAAAAAAGTTCAATGCTTCAAACAAAAATATTGTATCTGAGATTTGATTTCACAATATCAAGTTTTCATATGCAATTTGTAAACATACACCCAGTATAAGCTATCAACTTAAATAAAGCCAGTTATCATTAAAAAAGAGTAAAAATGAAATTTCAGTGCAAAAATTCATATCAACTAAACTTATCAACTTAAGACAATTTTAATATGAAAATCACAACTTAAATTCATAATATAAAGTCATCCTATAAAGACTTTAAGTCACTTTAAAATAAAACGCTCTACAACAGTTATCAAGTTTTCCTTTTTGTGACTATTCTCTAGTAAAAACTTTCTTTTGATTAGCTTTTACAATGTCATCAGGAGATGCTGATTTGAAGTCAAATGGTGTTATTGCTATAAGAGGACTTATTTCTTTGTCCTTTATGTCTTGAACTTGTCTATTATAAAGAAAAGTCTTATAAAGGTCAAGGGTGCGTCGCTTGCAGCTTTTCAATGGGTAACGAAGACACAGGGTTGAAGCAAAAGCTGAAGGTCTAGCAGCAAGGGCCTTGGTCCAAGACAGAGAATAAGGTGGTTTCCTACTCAGAGAGCCTTTATTGTTTTTCTTATTATCCTTAGCAGAAATGGAATGTTTCCCTAGCTTTGAACTCAGAACTTTAGTTCCTGGTGTTGGAGCAACTGATTGGTCTACTACAGGTTTTGGAACAAAATCTGAAGTTTTTATAAGAACACTAAGGTCAATATTTGAATCTATTTCAGGTGACCTCATTTCAGATAAACTGAGCTTAACAGAATCTTTTTTATTCTGAGCGCTGTCTGTATCAATGGTTTCTGCAATCAAATCAGAAAGTGACAAATTCTCAAAGTCTCTTGTAGGAGTAGTTTTATGAAATGCCAAAGATGACAGAGATCCTGTTAATTCTGATACTCCGGTTGAAGACATACACCGATTTGCTAGTTGTGATAGGGGAAAGGATCCCAAACTGGCAGATGACTGGTTACAAAGATCAGATAAAGTACAGCATTGGGTTGGATTGTTTTCTTTGTGGTCCTGAAACAGTTCAGCTAGGGATGGACTTCCACATTGGAAAAACTGCAAATTGTCATTTTTTAAAATATAATTCTTCGGACTTTGTTCAACTGAAGAAATGTTTCCAACTTCAGTCACTTTATGAGCGTTTGAATTATCAAGAGCCGTATTTTCCAATGAGCTAGTCAGGAGCAAAGGATTATTTAAACTTTCTAAACTGCTTCGCACTGGAATGTTTTGCAAATCAGGTAGTGAATTATTTTGAATAAATAAAGAGTTATTCAGTGTAGTGTTCTTAATCATTAAGGATTTTAAATCTGGAATTCCTTTGAAAGCAGAATCATCTTTGGGGACACATTCAGATGCATGAGATCCTAACAAATTGGCATCTAGACTCTTTGAAACTAGACTTTCCAGACTATCTGTAGATGGTAATCTGACAGATGGCTGACTTTTAAAAGAATCTCTTGGCATATCATCAATTAGTTCAGCTAGTGATAACTCTTTTAACTTACATGATTCTAGTTTCTTTTCACTTCTAGGCCTGTCAAGTTTCTTTTTTTTATGGAGTAAAAAGTGACTTGGTACAAATGAGGAATTATGATATAATCCACATTTTGCTACTGGACCAGAAAAATCAAATGATTTGCTACTGCAATCCAAATGGTTTTCAGACTGAGGACAAGAGCTTTGAACATTATCAGCTGAAACTTCAGAGTAAGATAATAAGACTCCTTACCTTACAAGAGCCATTAATTTTCAGATGAATAGGTTCACATATGCAGAAGACAGTCACAGCAACCAAAAGGAAACATGAAATGAGGCATTAATTACTAAATGTTTCTTTGATTATGACTTTTATAAGTGATAAATGATCATTATTTAATAAAAAGTGAACACTCTAAAAATCAATAAGAGAATTTTACCTTCCTTTAACTATCCAAAGTGACCTTCCTACTTTGTCCACTGACATATACAAATAAGTACCAAGTTAATAAATGTTCTAATTTCCATAAATTTTATAATGTGAGGCTCTAACACTTAAGTTATAGGAATGTCTCAAATTCAAAATGTCTTAAAAGTCAATGGAAAGAAGTTAGCTCATTTTCTGTATTTTTAATGTATTAAAAATAAATTAAAAGCAAACATCATTCTATTAATTTAAGTTCTACAATGATCTGGAATAAACTATTGATATAAATGACATATTACAGAACCATTCTCATATTTGGTTAAAAGTACTTACCACAAAATTAAAAAACAATTTTTAAAGAAAATAAAAATCACCCTTACTGAATGGTAGCAGACTACATATAAATTTGTTGTGGCAAAGTCTAGTCCTCAGCTTACAGTAATTATCAATCCATTAGCAAATCATCATGTTCCTATTGATAGATCTCATACCAGTTACTATAAAAGTATCTCAGTTCCCTTCTTATGTCAACTAGATCCCAAATTTAACCACAAACTCTACAAACTTAAAATTAAACATCTGGCTATAAATGCAAAAGTAATATAATTGATATTTATTATATTTAACCATCTGTATGCCATAAGCATCTATAGACACAAGCAGCAGACCTTTTTAAATTAAAGTAAAAGTATCATGGCAGTTAAGTTATTAAATAAAACTAAATTGCTTTTGTAAATACTATAAGCATAAAGGGAATTTTTTTACATTGTCGGGTTATTAATTTCCAGCTCCTGAACTATTAGAGTTAAAAAAAAACAAACAAGAGTAATTTAAAAGCTCTCTAAGCTACTATCAAAAGGCTGAAGTGTCTTGTCTTGTTTTTAATAGGACTTAATTTCCCTTATATCCTGTTAGTTATAAAAGCAAGCAGAGGAGCAAAAAGGCTTTGACAGAGGGAACAGAGCACTAAGCTTAAAATTTCACAAACTAGAAAACCAAATGAGTTACTGTAACATGCAAAATTTTCTACCCATTTTCCTTAACAGCTCAAGCAAATCACAGTCTCTTTTAAAACATTAACTAAAAGAGAACAAGTAAAAGCATACCTTTTGCTGTCTTTCCCGTGGATATTGCTCCTTCATTCTTGACCTTCAATTTCTGCATTTTATCTTGTTCCAGAACCACTGACAAAGCCTTCTGCACATCAAACTTGTTCTTCAGAACTGCTTCAATCAATATGTCATCTGGCACAGCATCTCCAAATACCTCTCTCATATGATCAAGGCATGAATAAAGACGAGCTAGAACAGACAGCAATAATTAAAAGCTATGCTAAATGCTATCATGAAAGAACCCTCAATCTTCAAACCTGAAAGAATTTGAAACCATAGTAGGATGTTCAACTCTCCTTTTCTCTCTACAACTTATTTATAACTAGAGATCCAGTGCACAAAATTCGTGCACAGAGTGAGGGGGTCCCCTCAGCCCAGCCTGAACCTTCTCCAAACCAGGACATCTTCAGGGATGTCCAAATGCCGGTTTCAAAACTGGCAGTTGGGCATCCCTCTCACAATCCAGGACTGCTGGCTCCTAACTGCTCATCTGCCTGCCTGTCTGATCGCCTCTAACTGCCCCCCACCCTGCCAGCCCTGATCACCCTTAACTGCCCCCCCCATCAACCTAGTTACCCCCAACTGCTCCCCCCACTGGCCTGGTTGCCCCCAACTGCCCCCTCTGCCAACCTGGTAACCCCCAACTGAACCCCCAACTGCCGGCCTGATTGCCCAGCACAGCCTACTGTTCAGTCATTTGGGTCCCTTGCTAACCCCCCGCTGACCTGGGCTGATCAGTTGTTTGGTCGTCCCTCACTAACACCCCTGCCAGCCTGGTCACTCCATGCAGCTTGCTGTTCAGTTGTTACTGTGAGGGCACTGTTACTAATTTGCATATTACTCTTTTATTAGTATAGATGATTTATATTTTTATCCAAACATACCCATCTTCTCTATCAAAGGAAAAATTTCATTAATTAAGAAATCACTGTAATAACTGTCTCCTAAATAACAATGACTAATGCTTAAAAAAAATTTTAATTGTATACATTAATATCTACTATATAATAGAGGAAAATCTAAATACAAATATCTTTGTTAAATGTGTAAGATAATTATAAAGATGCAAATTCAGAACCAATGTCATTACCATTTATGAGTTCTATCTTGACACTTAATGTACATAGATATGACCCATCAGGACACTTGCACAGTGTTACTTTGAACTTAAAATTTAAAAAATAAACAAATAAAAACAGCTGGCAGGGGAGCAGTTAGACATCAATCAGGCTGGCATGGGATTGGTTAGGGGGTGATCAGGCTGGCAGGCAGAAGCCATTAGGGGCAATCAGGAAGGCAGGTAGGTTAGCAGTTGGGAGCCAGCAGTCCTGGATTGTGAGAGGGATATCCGACTGCCCGTTTAAACAGGCGATCAGACATCCCTCTGAGGAGTCCCAGATTGGAGAGGGTGCAGGCTGGGCTGAGGGACACTCCCTACCCCATACCCTCATGCATGGATCTCGTTTTCAGATAAAAAACTCAAGACTATTTTTACTATACCTTGATCAAATTCACTTAGCTGATGGTTCAAAAGAGAATTGGAGGATTCTTTCAGATCTTCATAATCATATTCTTCAGGCTCAGCAGGTTTGTCACGTCGTGAGTAAATAAATTGAGCAGCTAGAATATAAAATGATTGAAGAATACTTTTATATAGTCATTTCTCATTAACTTTATTTTTACAAAAGTTAAAGCAAAAATTAAGGATTCTGATCTATTGTATATATAGCCATTAATCTATATTCTATAATATTGGATAAAAACAAAGACAAAACATACCCCCAAACCTTCTCAAATGTCCTTACTAACTACTCATTAGCTTCTTATAATCATCTTCCTTATTTCCTCCTATTTTCAAAACCATTACCCTGAGTTTACTTTCTCTACTTTTCAAAAACTACCTTTCCTAATATCTCATCCTTGTCTACTACTTTATCTTCCTTAAAAATTTCTCTTCTTTGGTATAAATATTCCAAACCTCATATCAAACTTGCTTATTTGTATAATTATGAAAATATTAAACAGACTAGGTCTTCAATTTCCAAAAATTGCTAATTTGCCTAAACCCAGGAGTTGACCAAAATCATAGATCTTAACTTTTGAACAACTCATTCTTTCAATCACACACTGATAACTGTACACTAATATCATATTCCTAACTTTGACTTTCAGACCTCAGTCTCTGCTACTCTGTAGTACTGGCACAGTTTCAGTATGTAAGTGGGTATTATATATTTCATTAAAAGGAGGAAAGACAAAACATCAAAGTGCCAATATATGCATGAATATCACATACAAAATAGAAGTGAGCAAAGAAGAAAATATCATGCATGCCCAAAGTGTTGACTTGACTAGATGACTTGACTTGAGTTCAATTCTTAGAGACTGTGTTCAATTGTGAAGGTATAAAATTAAAGAATAGGGAAGAAGGATAGAAATATCAACATAATATTCTAAAGGCAAGGCATTATTAGAGATTTTATATCCTTTGGCTTTCTGGAAGAGCATGTGACATGGAAGTCTATTGCTTAGCATTCCCACATCTGACTTTTGTGCATGTTTTCAGAAAGTTATTACCTATGAAAATAAGGAAAACTAACTACATTTGACTTTTGTGCATGTTTTCAGAAAGTTGTTAGCTATGAAAGTAAGGAAATGTCTTCAGAAAGTTATTGCCCATGAAAGTTTTCAGAAAGTTATTACCTATATGCCAAGTAGGGCCTTCAATCCAGGCCTTCAATCCAGTATCTCGTACAAGAGATTTTTTTTTTAATCTCCTATCTAATTATCCTGCTATATCATCTACCCAGGTCAAAGGTGATAATGAATTGTAGGAGCCCAAAAGTATTATCCTTATGGTCTTTTGAAACCCCAATGAGCTTTAAAGAAATGCAGATTAAGCCACCCCTCAGCTTCTAACCAGACTTCTTTCTATACTCTATTTCCTGATGCCAAGGTTAAGTCTACACATATTTTCTTCTTGGACAGCTGGCTCTCTTTTAGGAAGACTGGAAGGCTGGAGGAGGAAAACATGTGCTTCTTTCCTTTTTGCTTCTTATCCAGTCAGTCACCTGAGCAACAATTCACCTTAAAGAAGCAGTTTGTTCCAGTAACATCAATTAATATCAGCTTCTTTAAGGTGAATTCCCAGAAACAGCATCAACACGCCCCCAACCTACATCTTCTGACACTACAATCAGCCAGCTGGCTAGAACTGTCTCTTCAAAGACTGATTCCAGCTTCACAGGCATCCTTCCAACAGGGGAACACGTGCCAGCTATGCAGTGTTCACCTCCTCAGAGGTCTGAGACCCAGCTCCACAGTATCTTCTCTTAACTTCAAAGGCAAAGTAATAAAGCAAAACCTGGGTTGCAGGTTCGATCCCCAGCCCCAGTTAGTTGGGGCATGTTTAGGAAGCATGCAACAGAAGTATCTCTCTCACATTTATCTTTTTTTTTTTTTTCTCTCTCACCCATCCCCCATTCCTCTCAAAAAAAAAAAAAAAAAAAAATATAAAAATATATATATATATATATATATATATATATATATATATATATATTTTTTTTTTTTTTTTTTTTTTTTTTTTTAAGAGCTAGACCTATTTCAGAGTAACAGGAAAGACAACCACAGGAAGAATGGAAGTGCTAAGACAACTTTTAGAAGACATATCTAATAAAGAGAGAATATGCAAATTGACTGTCATGCCATAATGATCAAGATGGCTGCACTCACAGAGGAGGCAGGGACTCCATAACACAAGATGGCTGCACCCACAGAGGCCGAGTTCCTGTAACAAGCCTTAACGAGCAATCAGTAGGGACCTGAGGCTGCGCCCTCCACCTAATGGGGCTTGACTAGGGTGGGGCCAGCCAGGTCTGGATTTCGCCCAATGGGGGTGAGGCCGGCTGAGTCTGGGTCTAGCATGATTTTGAGGTGGCGCGGGTGTGTGGGGGCTTGACTCTGGGTAACACAGCGTGTCCCAGACTCTGACAGGAGGAAGATCTTCATATACATTTTACTAATTTTCTTTCATCTCTGACACTTCTATTATAGAGAAAGGGAAAATAGCAATATTAAAGTATTTCCTCTAATTAATCCCCTTTTAATGTGCATGAATTTCGTGCACCAGACCACTAGTGGTTTTATAAATAAATCAAGACTTCCAAAAAGTTAGAAGAGACATATTTGGTCTATAAGTGGCACAGGTTTAAATAGGGGTGGAGAGAGGCAGGAAAGGGTAAAGGAAAAATAAATGATGATGAAAAGAGACATGACCTCCTAGCTGATTTGGCTCAGTGGATAGAGCATCTGCCACTGAAAGGTTCCGGGTTCAGCTGAAACCGGTTTGGCTCAGTGGTAGAGCGTCGGTCTGCGGACTGAAAGGTTCCAGGTTCGATTCTGGTCAAGGGCATGTACCTGGGTTGCGGGCACATCCCCAGTGTGGGGTGTGCAGGAGGCAGCTGGTCGATGTTTCTCTCTCATCGACGTTTCTAGCTCTCTCTCTCCCTTCCTCTCTGTGAAAAATCAATAAAATATATTTTAAAAAAAAAAGGTTCCAGGTTCAATCCCAGTCAAGGGCACATGCCCAGGTTGCAGGCTTGATCCCCAGCATGGACTAGTTGAAGGCAGCCAACCAATGATTCACTTTATTATTGATATTTTTCCCTCTCTCTTCCTCTCTGAAATTAATATAAATATATTTTAAAAAAAGAAAATGTCAGAGTTCATTGCACACATTAAAAAAAAAGACATGTCTTTGAGTGGTGAACACACTATAGATTAGGGGTGTCGAACTCAATCAGAGAAGGGGCCAAAATCTAAAATCCAGCCTAAATCGCGGGCCGAATGGTTTACTGAACAGTCATAAACTGTCATTGTGATGGAAACGCAGCGGAGTGCAGTGATGACAGTGCGGTGCGGGCCACATTGCAAGGCCTGGCGGGACGGATTTGGCCCGCGGGCCTTGTGTTTGACACATGTGCTACAGATGATGTATTATGGAATTGTACACCTTAAACCTACATAATTTTATCAATGTAACCACAATAAATTCAATTTATGAATGAATGGATGAATGAATGAATGAATGATGTGGTACAAGTTTACAGGACAGGTCAGGTTTAAGGAAAGTAATGGGTCTATAGGACAGCTTAGCAGACCACAGTATTAAAAAAAAAGGCAGAGTGATAAAAATGTTAATCACATTAAATCTTTTAAACTTGTGGAAAATGAATTTTATGAATTATACCAGTATTTATGCTGAACCTATGTTTAATTACACTCCCTTTTATAGCATAGTAAAATTAGCGGGATATTTTTAACTTACTGTTTACAGAGTAGAATGAAATTTGAAGACAGCCCTAGCTCACTTGGCTCAGTGGACAGAGCATCAGCCTGAGGATTGAAGGGTCCCGGGTTTGATTAGGGTCAAAGGCACATGGCCGGGTTGCAGGGTCCATCCCCAATAGGTAGTTTGCAAGAGGCAGCCGATCAATAATTCTTTCTCATCACTGATGTTTCTATCTCTCTCCCTACTCCCTTCTTCTCTTAAATCAATAAAAATATATTTTAAAAAAAGGAATTTAAAGACAAATGTATTACTGAGAAATTAGTGAGAGGAGAGTCTGGATTAAAGGTTCAGTTTTACTGCAAAGAACACATGAATGTTTTCTTTATACAGTGGCAAAAAAGCAAACTTTCAGCAGATTAGACAGAAGATGCAGCTCTCATGTGGAATCTGAACTCCAAATCAATCTATGGCTCCATCAGAAGTTGGAACTACATTTATCTGGCTTATTTACCAAATTAACAGTGGATAAGATAAAATACTATAAAGGAAATTCTATGCATAACACATCAATGTTTCTAATATTCAAAATATTCCTGAGAATATATAATAAACTGCTGTCTGCCTTCATAAGTTTTAGTTTTAGATAAGATTATCTTTTCAATACAATTTAGTTTAATTGCATTTCAAAGAATATTGGAAAAGCTAGTTTTCAGAGTTTTCTTCTAATTGATTAAAGCCAAGTGATGCAATCAAAATTTTAAATTCTACTTACAGCTAAAGAAATTATTTTTTCACCTTTAAAAGTTAATATATAATTACTTTTTAAAATATTACTTAATATTAGTCTTATGGAATTACTCTAGTGATAAAATGACACTAATACTTACTTAACATTTTTAAACACCCAAATAATGAAAATCAAATTATTTTTAAAATTCACCTGTTGACGGAGAAATACAATAATCATCTTCTACAGACTGGCCATAGAGATCATCATCTTCAAAATCTAAAATAAAAACACAAGAGATAAATTCATTTACAAGTTCTTTATATATTCTTAGATATTAACAAGAAAGCATCTGGATTCTTTCCAAAAGAAATTAAATTGTTCATCAAAATTAAAAGAACTTGGATTGTCTACTTTCTCTAAAAATTTTACCTAAAAGAGAGATATTTACTGAATTTCTTCACTTATACACCAAATTCGTGCAAGAGTAGGCCTTTCTTCCACCGGCTGCTGGCACTTTCCTCCCTCTGCCACCAGGGACCCAGGCTTCCCTCTGGCCCTGGCTTCATCTGGAAGGATGTCCTGAATGACATTCAGTCTAATTAGCATATTATGCTTTTATTATTAGATTATTATAGATAGAAACATACATGGTTCTTCAGTTTTTAAGATAATTTGGTCCAATTTTTCACCTCAGGTGATCAAAAAGTAATCCCACAGACCACATACTTAAATTGTCTTTCTGGAGTTGACAAATATCCAAATAAAATCCATCAATTTTTTTCACCAGTGCTCTCTAAAAACAAAGCATTTATTTTTCATATAACTTTATGCATGGCCCATAACTGTCCACTGCATAGAGATGTTGTGCTTGTCCTAAACTAATTTTAATTTTACTATCAGTCTCCAAAGCACAGGTTGTAAAATCAGACCAAGAAAGCAATTTGTCTTCATGTAGATTCTAGAACTTAGGGATTTTAAAAAATTAAATAAAATAATTTTTTTCAAACTCGTCTATAATTTGTATGATGCTTAGCATGGTCCATAATTATCCACATAATTAGGACAAGATGGTGTGCTTGTCCTAAACTAATTTTAACTTTTTAAAAAAAAACTCCTAGAGAACATTCAAATACAAAATCAGACCAAGAGAGCAATTGTCTTCATGTAGACTTTCATAGAACAAGGTAATCTATGAAAACCAGCTTATCCTAAACTCCCTCAAAATCACTCTGCTCAGGCTTATTGGCCTTTTTTCTACTGACTAGAATATGTTTTTTAACCAAATTTCTTAAGGCTGTTTCCTCCTCTTGGCTAAGTTCCCATTGAAATGCCACCTAATTGCATATGTCCTCCCTGACCCCTCTGGGTATAAGCAGCAACCCCTCCTCTCTTCCCTCCCCACCCCCATCCCCCCACCCCCATTATTTTTTACTGTCTAGCACACTCCTCGAATTCAAAGTCTTCAAAGCACTTTAAGCACTTTGCCTGTGTCACTCCACAAGATTATAAGCTTCTTCAGGGCAAGACTCTGTCTAGCCAACTACCTGGCACATGTTTGGTACTAAATTTAAACTTGTTTTATTATAAATGAATCAAGCAATTTAAAATAAAAACCCACAAAGAATATAAATGTTTGCAAAAGTATTTCATTCATTCAACAAATATTAGCACTATGTCAGGGACCATTAGAGACATTTGGGGTACAAGAGTGAGTAATAGGCACATTCCCAAGATCTTCACAAACCTGAAATGAACCAGAGAAGACAAAAAATGGGCAATTACAAAACACATATAGCAAGTGTTTGACATGTATTGGGAGTGAGGTGGCTGGGGAAAAATCCCAGGAATATAATACTTAAACCAGTTCCAAAGGATAGTTAGCTAGTTTCTGAGGGTATTCATGAAGCAGGACTCTTATTCTAAGACCAACTGTTTATGGCAAAGAAAAAAATAAACAAATGTTACCATTGGATTAACATGTGTATTTCAATAAATTAGATCACAATTCTGAGTTAATAACTTATTAGCAAATAAATGAGCCATTCACAAAAAATATTTTTAGATATAAAAACAGAATCTTTTCCATTGTTTTTCAATGCTGACATTGACCCTAAAAGTACCACAATATAGAAAGATAAAGAGAATTCATTCCTCGTATCTTTGTAAAGTGGATCTTTTTCTCAACAAAATTTTGGGAGTATTTACTTCATGTAAGCAATGTGGTGGCTATTGGAGTAAATATCAAATATATGGACTTTGTCTTTCTGGCACTTATAATTAATAGCTAAGTGCTAGCCAAATTACAGAGAACAAAGTTGAGAGTTAAATAGAGGAACCAATAGGTTTTGGAGCATAAACTCTCTCTAATGAAGGTATATTAGTTTTGAGAATTTTAAAATTATTCTGAGAGTACAAAGGAAAGCTTAACTGGGAAAGAGAGAGAGAGAGATACTGGACCCTTAAAATGAGTAGAACTTTGTAAGGAAAAGGGGGTGAACCTCCTATTCTATAGGAATAGCTTGGTTATGATGTCATCAATTGTTCCAAAAAAACCTGACAACCTGACCAGGAGTTTATCACTCCCTCCCTCAGGCCAAGCACTTCCCAGGGAAGCTTTCCTTCACATGGAATTCATACTCTACTCCTCCAACTCACTCTGAATGAGGTGCTCTTACTTTACATAGCTTACTTTCTGTAGCATCTCATACTGTAATCCTCTGTAACTTGCTCACCTCCCCCTTTAGGCTCCCTCAAACATTTTACTATCAGTCCCCAAAGCTTAGAACAGTACACCAAGCATTCAATTAAAGAAGAATAAACAATTATTCTTGTTTGAGGAAGTAAAACTTATTAAAGAAATAAATTATTAAATTAATTACTTTATTAAAGAAATTAGGCCTATTCGTGTGTTTTGTAGCATATCTGCAAAAATACATCCCAGGCTGAAATCATGTCTAGGTAACTATGGTCGACATGCAATACTTATATTCACTGCAATACTTAACAACCGCCTCCATTCTAAGGTGAACACTAGGAACCTAACATTAACATATACATATACATATACATATACATATACATATACATATACATATACATACACATACACATACACATATACATACACATACACATATACATATGCCAGGCTGAGGCTTCCAAAAGCGGTTCAGAATGTTAGCCTCCAGTATGGTGAGAGCATATGGATGCTATGGATAGCTCTACAATAATCTAGTGGGAGCGTGGGAGTGCCAATAATAACCACCAACACATCAAGCATACTACATTCTCTGCATTCTACAAAACAATGGGTCTTCATTCCTCTTCTGCACTCAGTCAAACTTGTCTATAATTTGTATGATGCTTAGCGTAGCCCATAATTATCCACTGCCTAGAGATGTTGTGCTTGTCCTAAACTAATTCTTTTTTTAAAACTCCTAGACAACATTCAAATACAATTTTTTTAAATCCCTAAGTCCTTTTCGAAGCCTTCTTTCTTCTACTACTGCTTCCCCCACCCCCACATCCCCAAATGCATTTACATTGAGAACTTTCAAGCAAGAACTAAGTATACACCTAAGATCACCTAATCGACTTATTCTTTGGGTCTTTTTCATAGGTATCTTTTCCACCGTCCCCTACATTTCCAAGTTAATTTGAAACTCATAGAAAATAAATTACAGTGAGCTCAAGCCAGATTCTGCTATAATATGTATGAAAACACAAAAAGATTTGCCATATAACACTAACACAGTTAAAAAACATTTGGATGTAACCATCAAGTCGGTCAATCCGTGTGTTACAAACAAGCAAGGTTTCATGGGCATGTTTGGATGGGGGTCGGGGGGTCGGGAAAGGGAGCCAGAAGCAGGCAGGGCAGAGCTGGAGGAAACAATGCGAGGGAGACGTGACGACGCTTTATGCGCACAAACACCCCGCGTCGCAGCCCCGCCGGAACCGGACGCGGTACTGCACCTCCCCTCCCCTCAATAAGCTCAACCCCAAAGGCAGACATCACGACGTAAAACAGTGCCATTCTCTCCGGCACGCGGACACCCTGTTATTTTCCCCAGCCTCCTCTGAATGCCAGGCATGCACCACGGACGAGGAATCAACAGATCCTAGGGATGTCAATACGCTGGGATTCCACCTGAGACGGAGAACAGGACATCGCGGCACAAGTTCGCCCCCTACCTTCATCGTAGTTATAGCCTCGAACATTCCGATGCCGGGCCATGGCGGCGAAGAGGGCGTCCGCCACAGCCTCTTCCAAAACACCCGCTTCAGAAACTGACCAGGCGCCAACTGCGGCCAGGACAACACCGACGCGCCATCTTGGCTTCCGGCAGGCCTCTGCGCCGTGCGCCTGCGCACGCCGGACGTCCTGTCTGCGCACTGCGCGCGACGGCGGCCTCTCAGGGTCACGCGCCTCCAGAGGAACGCATGCGCATTCGCGCAGCTGGGAGGTGCCTTTCTGGCGTGGCCCCGCCTACAGGCGGGGTTGACTGACAGGCGTTCCAAAGAGGCGGAATTCCGCTGCTCACAATGTGTTGACTTGGACCAACAGTTACTATGGTAGAAAGTATCCTAGACCTACACCTGAGTTCCAGATTATTTTCCAGATTTGGTTTCTGATAAGCTACGGAAAAAGCTGACTGCATGCCAGCACTCTGTCTTTGAGGCCTAGTGTTAGGCCCATAATAAGCACTAACAAACTTGTGCGTATATTTTTAAGAATTAGCCCAAGCTTTAGAGAGAGTGGAAATGCTCTTTTTTAAATTGAAAATCTGATTACAGTAAGTCACCAGGCTTTCATGTAATACATGGTTTCATGTATATGACTCTTGCATTAGTACCTCCAGTAAACAATTATCTGGCCACATAAAAGATTAGCTCCATGATTCTCTGAGCATTCATTAACAAACAATCCTGTGTAACATGCTTAAGAGTATTAAGTATAGCTTTTTAGACATAACACATCTAGGGCCACTTATGGTAATGTTGAATGTTGTTGAGATATTTCAGTAACTTTGTGGTGACCATTTTGTAATACATACAAGTATCAAATCATTATGTTGTCCACCTAAAACTAATACAGTATCATATGTCAATTATATCTCAATAAAATATTAGGAACTTCTATTCATCAAAAGACAACATTAAAAAATTATGAAGGCAAGTTTCAGCTCAGAAGAAGATATATCCAGCACATACTATATCTCACAAAGAACTCGTATGTAAAACACACAAACGAGCTTATGTTCCCCCTCAAATTTTTACCAAATAAAAAATATCCTATCTACAATAATAAAGAGGGAATATGCTAATTGATCCTCATGTAGTCGCAAAGATGGTGGCATCCACAGCCTATAAGGAGGGAATATGCTAATTGGCCATCACGCACTCAAAGATGACAGCACCCACAGCCACAAGATGGTGCCCAATCCCCTCAGTCCCACCAGGGCCAGCCCAAGGCACTGCCAAGCCTCCCAGGAGCGGCTCCAGGCTCACGCTGTTGGCAGCAGCATAGGTGTGATGAGGCGTCGCCTTCCCCTGATAGCGGGGTTGCCTCCCACCCCTGAGGGATCCCAGACTATGAGAGGGGGCAGCCCGGGCTGAGAGCTCCAGTGCATGAATTTTCATGCATCGGGCCTCTAATTTTTAAATAAGTATAAGTCCCATATAGATACATCACAAAAGAGAATATACATATGGGCATTTAGCATTTGTAAAGGGCCTAAACATCCACTAATCATAAAAAAAAAAATGCAGATAAAATAAATATGGTTTGCCCCACCAGAATGACTAAAATGAAAATGATTGACAATAGTGAGTAGTGGCAAGGAATACTGTGTAAATAGTGGAAGTCTCAAACATGGCTAGAGCATGTGCACATGGGAACAACCACTTTGAAAAACTTCGGCCAGTTGATCAAATACCAAATGTATGTGTGCCCTGTGACCCAAAAGTGCCATTCCTAAATGCATGCCCAACAAAAATTAGTGCTTATGTACACTAATGTTAGAAATGTTATTCACAGTAGCCCTCAGATTTAAACAAGCCAAATGATTACCAATAATAAACCAATAAATCATGACATCTGCATTTAATAGGAATCCACATAGCATTGAAAAATCACTAGGGAGGTTTTATATATGTGTAAATGTTTACTGTTTTGTATTTTTAAGACTTCTGCAACTTGTAGTATATGTTATACCACAGTAAAAAAAAAAGGGAAAAATATTCAATTAAATTTTCAAAGTATCTTTGATATAATATTTCAAGTGCTTCCTTTATACCTTTGTAGTATCCTGTTTTTAAAATATGAATACCAACTAAAAACTTTTCTATATCTGGATTAGAATTCATTCAGCAATACATCAATATTTCCCAGAGTAAAGTCTGTTCCTTATTTTCTATTTTAAACTGAGCAATTACTGATCCATTTGGATTTAAATTTAAATTTTTCTGTTGTTTCTCTTGGTAACTACTTAAAAACTCATAAGAATTTTAATAAATTATGGGAACTTCTGACCTTAATCATTAGGAAAGAAAAAGTGGGAGGGAGGGAAGATTAATAATTGTGACATTAAACACCTCATTAAGGAAGTCTTAAGAGTTTTCTAATTAAATATCCAGGAAAGTAAAGCGTATACTGCAAACTATAAAATGATTTAGGTGTATAGAAATGTCCTTTTGGGGTCCTTTGCAATTCTGTGATTGTGGTTATACATTAATAACAAATATTTTTGTCCTGATTATTATTGCCAAATATCTATAAAATCTGTAAACAGATGACTTAATTTTCTTGTTGATCTTTTTAAATTAGTTCTATAACTCTCTGCCTGATGTAATAATATTCTTACCCTCCTCTATGGAATTTCCCCTGACTTTCTTTACATATTATTCATTTTATCCCTTTCTTCTTCTTCTTTCTTTTTTTTAAATTTAAGGCAGAAATTTAGTTGAGTGAAAATTGGCAAGAAACAGTGAACAGGTCCTTTATCAAGACAAAGCTTTGCTCTCAAGGGGCTTGAGGCTGTCCAGGATTCCATGCTTGACAGAAGCAATGACAGCATAACTAAACAAACAAGGATGTGTTCAGGGAAGCTGAAACCGGATCTTCAAAGATTCAGTGGGTGATTTTTAATTTCTGTGTAGCATTATAGAGCTTAATGCAGAACATATCAAAAACTTGGAAAGGCACTGGTAAAGTCATGAACTTCATAAAACAGAAAGATTCTTGAGAAAAAAAAAATAGAAGAGTTTTATATTTGGACTAGAGGCCTGGTGCATGAAATTCATGCATAAAGGGGGAAGGGTGTTCCTCAGCCCGGCCTGCACCCTCTCCAATCTGGGACCCCTCGGGGGATGTCCGATTGCCAGTTTGAATGTCTAAACTGGCATTCAGACATCCCTCTCACAATCTGGGACCACTGGCTCCTAACTGCTTACCTGCCTGCCTGTCTGATTGCCCCTAACCCACATGTGTCAAACACAAGGCCCGCGGGCCAAATCCGTCCCGCCAGGCCTTGCAATGTGGCCCGCACCGCGCTGTCATCACTGCACTCCGCTGCGTTTCCATCACAATGACAGTTTATGACTGTTCAGTAAACCATTCGGCCCGCGATTTAGGCTGGATTTTAGATTTTGGCCCCTTCTCTGATTGAGTTCGACACCCCTACAACCCCTCTGCCTGCCTGCCTGATCACCCCACCTTGCCCTCTGTGGCCTGATCACCCCTACCTTGCCCCACTGCTAGACTGATCATCCCTATCTGCCTCTGCCTTAGCCCCCTCTGTGGGAGGCAACCTGGCAGATCAGGGAAAGACACCGCCCCCATTACCCCACTGCTGCTGCCACTGCTGACCTGAGCCTCAGCCCTTCAAAGCCACGCCTGAGCCTTGACTCTTGCAGCTGCGGGAGTTGTGGCTTTATATGGAAGGACTCTGGAACATGTCCACTCTAATTAGCATATTATCCTTTTATTAGTATAGATTTGGGGACCATTACACCCACGCAGAACTACCTCCTAAAATGTTGAAAACAAAACAAACCAATGCTTTTAAAATATGGCAGGTGTTAAATAAATGTTAGCCATCTTTATTCTACTGATCATGAAAACAAATAATTCTATCACATAAAAAACATATTATAATGGGAATATTCTCCAGCATATTCTTCATTCATGAAGGGGGAAGGGTGTTTCATTTATTTTATATTTTCATGTGTCCCTTCAAATTTGGGTAAAGTGAGTAACCCTAACATATAGTTACTATTAGTAACCTGGACAAGACCAGAACTCATAACATTACAGTCAGTGATTCTTTCCCTTCAACCAAGTTGCTCCTTAAAAGGAAGCAAAAAGGGGACATCTATAATACTTCCAACAATAAAGATAAGTTTTTTTTTAAAAAAAATCTTCTTGAGAAAAAGACATGCATTTCTTCTTGACAAAGTTTTCTCTAGTCATTGCTTATACTGATAAATGAAATACTGTATTTAGTTTCCCTAAATACTGGACATTTTCTTTGACATTAAGGACTCCAGAATTCAGTCTACCATGGCTCACAATGATCTAGATTCTTTCTAAATTCCCCATTTATCACCTACTGGAATGTTCCCTCCCTAAGCATCAGTTCATTCTCTAAAGGTTCTTTTTCAGAAAGAGCCAGACAAAAGGCAACATCTCTATATAAAGAGTTCAGAGCAAGAAGAAGAAAGAGGGCTAATATAAAGCCCAGCAAAAAGAGAGAAAGAGAGAGAGAGAGGATAAAGAGAGAGATAGATAATTCAGTCTATATTTGGCTCTTCCTGTTGAGCTTGTTGGCCAAATTGTGACTTTTTAAAATTGATAATTTCCAATATTATTTGCCTCTTAAATTTTTATTGTTTTCTCTCCTTTTAAAATAACTGTCAACAGTTATCACTTACTTACAGTTAACTGTACATACATTAAAACAGATGTGTGTATTCTAATATGTTCTGAATGTGGGGATAACATTGCCTCACATTTTGCCTGCTCTAAAATACCAGAGGGAAAGAAGAAAAATCGAAAGTCAACGTGATGCCATATTAATGATTGTTAAGACCTACCCAGTGCTGAAGGTAGGTCGGACATCCAGTGACTTTGATATTACAGCAATTTAGGTGGGGAAAACCAAAATGTGAGCTAAATCCTTGACCATACATTTTTGCATAATATATGCCAATGAGATATGTGGTGTGGTAGTAGGAGGAGGAAGGTGAGAATTTAGGAGAAGGAAAGGTATCTGTGAGGATTTTGTGTGAAGTTAAGGGAGAGAACTTTCCAAAAGGCCTGCATACTTTGCACATGGTTTTTTTTTTTTTGTTTGTTTGTTTTGTTTTGTTTTGCTATTGTTTTATAATATTATTTCTCCATCAAGCAAAAGGAAGTACTTTTCG